TGTGCAAGTCCGAGGTTTTCGTCAACTGGTTTGGGACCACTGCGTCGCAATCTCGGGCTGGAGCTGAGACGCGACACGGTCTGCCACAGTACTCGTAGAAAGTATCCGCACTCTACGAAGTAACTACGCTATGATTGTTAACTACTATGTAGTCATCCGTACAGGGCAGTGTCGCGGGGGTCGAGTCTTCCCGGCAACTAGTGAAGCCAACACGGTGCGTCAGTGAGCGGCTTGTTTGCTGGGAAATTCGCCTTCGGTCGTATGGACGTCGAAATGGCGGGTTTGTGTGAAAAGACAGATCATGAGATCTCAGACAATGCGCGAGGAGGGTGTCAAGGAACCGAACAATCGGGAAATTCAATGAAACACTGGGGGCTTCACAGCCCCCTCGCTCACGAACTTCGTGGCTTGAGGTCCTCCCTCCCACCTTTTGGTCAAGGGAGCCGAGAAACAAGACGGGCCGATGCGGCGGGGCTTGTCATACCTGGCAACTGTTGCAACGCCCTCAAGTGGACGATGTACATCCTGATACTGTGGAATATGCAGACACGACAATATTAGAGAACCCCTGGTGTGGTATGAATTGATTGCTGGGGTTGCATTCAACCCAAAATGTCCAATTGTTGGAATGATCTTGCGACAGGGAGGAGGTGAGGACGTACAGCTAGATTCGGTTCACATTTGGGGAGTTTGAATCCTGGTGAGAGAGGAGCTCAGGAAGGAGGCGCATGGGGAGCGAGGATTCGACCCCCTTTTTGCCACGGACGGAATGGAATCGAACATCTCGTGCGACTGACCTTTGGCGGTGTTTCTTTTTTGGACCAGACCCGACCCGAACGGCTGTTGTGATCGCGTTTCCCAACGCCCTTCTCATCCCACGCGGCAGACTTCATTTCGTCTAAACTGGAACAATCGAAGAAATAGGATGACGACGGTGCGCAAGACCGAGAAACACGCGCGATGCCAATGGCGATCCGGCAGGACATCCGAATGCACGGCCGGAAGCACAGACAGTCGCCTTCCCTGACCTGTCCTTCGGGCTGCAGCCACCGAACGCCAGTTCGAGTCTCGTCCCGCCCACGAGGGAGATGAGACCCTGGAAGGGTTCTGGAAAATCAGACGAACATTGACATCGCTCGGCGCTGCATCCAGCAACAAGCGACTTCTCGGGAAAGACACTCCCAGGAACGACTTTGAGGATAGTATCGCTTCCCAGGAGGGAAGCCCGTTGCGTGCTTTGAGTAACACCAAAGTTCTGGTGAAAACCCCGGTTATCTCGCCGGCCCGGCTCTTGGTTCCGGGGAAAACGACGATACAATCCTCGCTTCTGATACCCCTGCTTCTCTCTGCCGTGTTTCGGGCGATGGCATGGACGAGCTCGACTACAGATACTATGTCCATACTTCGTATGTATGGGACCTTTCGCTTTGCCGTGAGGGTACTTTATTATTAAATTGCGTGGGACTTCCCCTCCGTGGTGTTGACCGTTGTGGGTTATGGCCAGCCATCAAATCTGGGGGAACATCTCCATCCTAGCGGGTGGGCTTGGTGGAGTGGTTTCGGAGATGGCGTTGGCGGCGTTTTGTCCCTTGTCAACAACGTGCCCAGCATCTTGGTTCGATCTTGGAAGGTTTTGGATGAGACGAGGTTGTGTTTTACGACTGCGTCACACGCACCAACCCTCTTCGCATGACGTTAGAGGGAACTGCCCAAGCTGGGGAACACCCACATATACTACTTGACTTCCACACTACTTACATCTACATGGTAGTAAACTTAGTGAACTTGCCGCCTTTGTCGAGCGACCCTGATTTCGTCGCTCTCGCGGGACTGTTTTCAACCCAGATGGGCTTGCTCGGCTCGCTTGGAGTTACTGGGAGACTGGCTCGGTTGGCTTGGGATCGGGAAATTGGCGAATCGCGAGCATGGGGAGGCACCGAGTCTTGGCAATGCGAAGCAAATTGCCAAGTTTCCTACGGCGTCATGGCCCCTCTCGACTTCTCAACGAGGGGAGCAAAGATCTGCAAGGTGATCCGACGACCAAGGAATTGATGAGTGAGAGCTCAAGACGATGAATCGTGCGTGATGTTTGGAGACCGCTTTTTTTTTTATTCGAGCTGACGTTGTTCGGTTCGACCCGAGGTTGCCAAGTTGCCGTATCGGGGCGGGATGTTAACGGGCGGACGGCGACTGTGAATCTCAAGAGACGGCGAAGGCCAGAGGCACTTCTGAGCGAGCGAGCTCCCATGTTGTTTCTGTCTTGCAAAGAGAGAAGGCTCGAATCTGCCGAGGCTGACTCGCAGCAAGATCGATGAAGGCTGCAGGGGGAGGCCTGCCAAGAGACGTGGGAAGCAAATCTCGCCAAGTCAGTGCGGCGTTGGGAAACCCACACGGCTTGTCCACTTCTCATTTTTTTCCCTTGCCCCACGAGCCCAACTTGCCCATCAACCGTCGATCGCTCATGTCGGTCTTGATGGGACTGTGTCTAGTGTCCACTAACTACACTAACTAGGATACTAGTGTAATGCTGTCTCCATTCCATGTTGCGGTACACTACTGTGTATGGCGAGCTCTGCCCTCGGACCGGCGCTGTCGTCGTTTGCTTGTCGGGATATGAAAAAAAGAGAATATCTCTTTCTCGCCGACCTGGGAGAGCGCATCATTTTTCGTCATCTCTCTCTGCTACTCCGTACTGTGTAAATCTCCCCAGGCTCGCCATTCATCCGGTGTGCATATGGACGAGACCACTTTCATGCTAAGCCGACCACTTTGTAGGAGCTCGGCACCCGAGCCAACTCGCTCCCATCCCTCACCTAGGGCCCGGGGAAGGTGTAGATAACTACAGTTAGTTATGACGGCGCTGTGTCTCGTCAGTTAGACTCTTGTGTTTTACAAGACGTCCTTCTTCCCTCCCCACCTCTCACCCCACCCGGCTCGAAACAATCACGATATTTTTGCTGACTCTTCTCCAACTTCCATCGTTTACCCCAAAACTCGATACCATGAAGAAGGGAGCGGGGGTACCTGCTCGCGTAGGTGCTAGATAGCTGCTTGTTGTCGATCTATATTGACGAGTCAGGTCAGCCTGGAGGTCCTTCGTGGTCGAAGGCCAGGGCGTCCCGTCGAGGTCTGATCACCGAGAGTTAGTGCAACGCTTCGCATGATACGACTTGATGGCCGCTTCCCGGAGTCGGTCGCTAATGCGTAGTTTTGTAGCGATCGACGAAGTATAATCTTTCGGCAAAGAGCAAGTTTCTTCCTCGACATGAGCGCGGCTGGTTTCTCGACCACGACGACTGGGGGGCTCGCTTGGGCTTCGATTCTGCAGTGTGCTCATATCATACAAACGCAGCACACTCGTAGTGCACAAGGAGGTCATGAGAACAAATGATGACAACCATAATCTCCTGGGTTGCTGCTATTTGGTAGGCGCTTCCTCCTTGAAGATATCGCATGGTCAACTCTGGAATCCACTGTCTGTCGAAAGACCTATTGATCGTCAACTTCTAGGCCCTCCTCGATCTCGAGACTCGACTCGGGACCGTCTCGGCGTTGACAGAGGTTCCAGTGATCAGGGGCACGAGCACAGGCTCGATATCGGTACACTGCTTGGCAGTGACTTTGGAAACATATGTTCCTGCGTGCTTGCGTGCTTGCGTCTTTGCGTCTAAGATGGACGACGATGCTGTTGATCGGCGGATCGAGAAATATAGCATGACTTTCTTCCCCTCACAGATTCTCCGGCGATCGAAGCTTCCAAGCGCCTTGCCTGTTCGAGTTTGTTTTTCGGTTCTGGGGGACCTGAGTCTTGGACTGAGACAGTGTGAGAATGCGGGGCTTCAGGGGAAAGCTTGCGAGCTTGCCTGCCCGTTGAAGAGGCAAATCCCTGCGGAAGGCGGGTCGGCCGACGATTTCTGCTCTTCCATGGAGCATGGCTCGACCCTTGCGCTGGCTCGCGGGCTCGGCCCTTTCGGCTGGAAGGGTCTCTCCCCCAATGGGATTCCATCTTCAAAGGCCAGCCTCGGGAGTCTTGCACTTTTCGATGACTGGGGGGAGGCCCCCCAGCACTTGCGCTCCGCTTGCCCGCTACGAAGCAATTGGTCAAAACCCAGTTTATCAACCCTGGTCTCCAAGTTTCCCGGACCCACCCTGTGAAATGCGGCATGCTCACCAGACTGCAGACTTCCAGGTTCTATGGGGTTGCCGTGTTCTGTTGCATTGCGCCAGCCCCTCGCCCCCTTCCCGGCCACACCACGCCTCACCCCGGCACCCTTGGCCAACTGCCAGTCGGTCGGTCTGCCCAGTGATCCAGTTCTCAGGGGCGAGGGGGCCTATCGCTCGGTGGGAGCAGGGCAGATCTTGACAGGATCCATTGGACGAACTCCTCTGTACATATGTTCCACACCCCTCAGGACGCCGCCCTGCGTCCAAGTCTCACGCTCTTTGGACCCCTTCTTTTGCTTCTTCCTCCCGTTGATGGCGACCATCTCGAATTCCCTCCTTGTTTGAGATCCGGCCAGCCTTCTTTCTTTCCGCCGCACAGACGCTGTCTTTCCTCTCACTAATACAACCGACACCATCACGCGACTCGAACTTCATACTTTTATTCTCTCGTTCGTGCGACTCGAACCTCGTGCGAACCCTAGGACGGCCGACTGTCTCGTAGCTGCTCGGTGGTCAATGGGCTGATAATTTGTTCGACGCGCAACCATCTGGCTCGCCTACACTGCCCGACCGACCGACCGACCAACCGACTGACCGGCCAGCCGATTGACGCCTCCCGAACGCTTCACCAACCTCGACTTGGCCAACGTGGAGGTGGGCACTCTTAGGAGCTGGGTTTGCAGGTACAGGATTCAAAACGACTGGATACTGAATTCGTCTGTTCGCATCGAAGGACGGGCAAGGCTGATCTACCCTGATCACCTTGCGGGCGTGGGTTGGAATCAACATCTTTTGGTGGATCGAGTGTGGGAAAGACAGGAGGAAACCGCGCCAATATGGCATCCAACAACGAGACGTCCCTTTGCCCGAAGCCATTTCTACAGGATTCTCTCTATTCTAATGGCGGCTGTAAGTCACGCTTTGCGGAACCCGAAGCAGGTTACGACCCTTGCTAATACATATCCCAATGTAGTCGTGGATGGGCGTCTATGCCAGAAGTTGAGCGATGATCTCACTTGCTGTCTTCCGTGCCCCTTGACGGATTGGGCGTATCCGGACAGTTTTCAGACGATGAATCAGGCGGCAAACTGGGTGGCTGTTGTGAGCACAGTCTTCTGTGTTTTTCTGCTGCTTTCCTGGGCTGTGCTCCCAGTAGAGAAGACCTACAGGCATTACCTGAGCATATGTCTAACGATCGGCGTGTTGTTCATGAACGTATGTTGTTCCTATCCCTTCATGGTGCTGATGGCCTGATTCTGACTTCGCTGCACTAGTTTGGCTTCGTCATCCCGTTGGCTGGCAATCCTGCGCAGTGCGTTGACGACATTACGCCTGCTTCCATGACTACTGACTCGATGTGTGCTGCATCTGGCTTCTTCCTCATCATCGGGGGCTGGGCGGGCGTGCTGTGGATCTTCCTGCGTGCTCTGTCCCTTCACCTCCAGATTTGCTGGCAACTGGTCGTTGGTCGCAACTTCATGTGGTTTGCTCAGGCCATCGGCTGGGGCATCCCGATCACCGGTGTGATTCTCGCCTTCGTTTTGAGCGGAGTGTCGTTCCGATTCGGCCAAACCTGCCACATCAACCACGAAAACAGCCTGGCTGTTCTTTGGATCCCTCTCCTTGTGTTTGCCGCTTTGACTATCATCATTCAATTCGCCACCTTTGGCTACTGCATCAAGGTCTACCTGGCGTCGCTCGCCGACAACAGCGCCTCGACTGAAGGCTCAGGGATGCCCTCGTACACGAACAGCATCCGGACCATGACGCCGAAGCAAGCCTACCGCCGTGTTCGGCGCGTTATTGCTCTCCAGTGGAGAGGCATTGCGATCGTGCTCATCATCGTTTGCGACGTCGTCTTCTTCTCGATCATCTTCGTTTTCCAGGACAACACTGTGCAAACCGCCAAAAACGACCCGACCACCGCGGCCCCGTGGATTCTCTGCCTGGCGATGAACGGCGGCGACAAGGTGCCATGTCTTCCCGAAGCGAGCAAGCTCACTGTCAATATGGCGACCATCGGCGCCGTCCTGTTTCTCCTAGGGGTAAATCCCGCCCCACTTGCTTTGAGTCGTTGAACGAGACCGTACTAACTCTCTTACTCCTAGATTAATGGACTATGGCTCCTCATCCTTCTCGGCCGCTGGTCCATGGTTACCGGCTGGGTCGATCTGTTTAGTTCGAGCCCGAGCAGGAGCCAGAGGGAGTTCGTCTCAGTCGATGCTCGTCTGGACGACCTGAAGAAAGAAACACGTTCGTACGAGATGCTATCCCGGGACACCGGGAAGACCATGGACGATTCAGTAACACCCTCCGTAGTGACCCCCATCTCCCCCACTCACGCGAGGTCGGCGGCGGGGAGCCCGATAAACCATGAGTACATACAAATGTCCAATTCCGACGGGCGCCGGACTCCCGATTACTTCGGCAACACCGCTCGATATCACACCCCGGCACGATCGTTTTCCAGCCCACGGCCTCCTCAGCAAACAGTCACGTGGGACGCCCGGGAAACATACGCGCGGCCAACATCACCCTACAACGCTCAACAGGACCGATATGTCAACCCGCTGGGCATGAACAGGATATAACCCTGACGAACGGATTTTGATTTTCGCCTCTCACCGCACCTTTTCTTTTCGATATCACAAGCGATAAACAACCGGAGCTAACGGAAACGCCACACGCTCGAAGCTACACATCATTCGCCACGACAGCAAACGGAGAGGTTGAAGACCTCCACAGAGTCCAGTACAGGGGGTCTTAGGGGCAGGACTGGATTTATAATGAGATATAATACGAAGACATGTGGCAATGATGAACTTGCCGACCTGAACACTTGGACGAATCGACCTTTTCAGGATCTAGATTTGGATATCTGTGGATCTGATGTGGTTCCTCCGGCACATTGGCACATTGGCAGCACAGGTGGATCTGGAAGAAGGGGTTGTGGTGAGAGAAGGCGGGCTGGAGGGCGTTGCCAAAGTGACCGGATGCGGGGTGCTCTTTTTGATATCGGACTTAGTCATCAACGACAGCTTCGCCCGGGCTTTCCGATATCACCATCTCATATTTCCAAGGCACTAGGAAGACGGAGTGTGGAATTGAGACGGAGGCCACCAAAACAACGCTGCGGTTGAACTTTTTATCGATGGGCGTCCACCTATGGAATCCGCGGGAAGCCGGAGCTCTCGGGTCACGATACAAGGATCGCCGGCGCTTCCGAAACTTGTAAGCGGAGTTCGCGGCGGTTCGGACTCAGACCCACGAGAGTAGCCTGTGTATATATTCGTTGGCTCATGCTCTCATCATGTCGCACTACCCCTTACTCATAATCGGGGAACTTAGAAGGCGGTCGCAAGTGCTTTTTCAGATACCAAGCAAAATATTTTATACTTCATTTAGATACCACCATTTTATGATTGACGAGTTCGTCACCCAACGTGCCAAATTGCTTGCTTGTCAACATAACCTGGAACGGCGCCCGGTCAAGAAATCTGGCCGTTTTACCTAAAACTAAACCTCTGGTGAATGTAAGTTTTCGCTTCACCCCAAGTCGCTTTTTCTGTTCATTTGTCTGTCTTGCGAGCTGAGCTCAGCAGCCCGCCTCGTCCATTCGTTTGTTCGCGCGTCCCACTCTCAATAGTTAGCGGAGGGCTGGGGAATCTTGTTGCCTTCCCTCAACTTGGGGAGATGGCCCGGTTTCCGAGCTGGGCCGCATTCGCATTCCGGCCGTGCTTGCCCATGCCTGCAGCGCACAGGTCTCAAGATGGAGGTCAAGAAAGCGGTTTCGCCCAAACATGGAAAACGGTTAGCATCGAACCGCAAATGCTAATCTAATGGTAGTGGATGAAACTGGAGGCCGCGACCTCCCCTAGGTGTTCTGCTTTGCTACTTTACCTTCCAGCGCAGATAACTTTGAAGGTTCTGCCTGTGCATTTATTTTATCGACAAGTTTCGCGACTTCCAGGTTGGCGGGGTCCATGCGATGCCCCTCGTCCACCTAGCCTTGGGTACATACCTATTAGGGCACCTGCAGTTCCCAGCTCCAGCACTTTTTCGCCTGCCAAGACTTCCCGCTTCCCGGCACCTGAGCTCGCTTAGCCCCCTAGCTTCAGGGTTGTCTCTCCTGCCATTATGTTCTTCCTTCCACGCCAAAAACGAATAGCTCTCACCGTCGCTAATTCTTCCTTGTCATCGCCGCCGTCGGCGTCGGCATTACCATTATCATCACCATCGCATCTATTCCCCTCATTACATCCCGGGGACCCCGCCCCGCAACGAAGTCGACGATCCATGTTTTTTCTTATCCTCGGCGCCGTGCTTGCCGCCGTCCTGTTGTACCTCTACCGCGCCGAGTCGCGGCTCTTGATTCCATGGGTTCCCGACACCTCGGCCCGCCTATTTGCCCAGCGCCCGCTCCCGCCACCACTCGACGACATCTTTCTCAGCTCGTCCGAATACACCCTTCCGCTGCGCACTCGGGGCCGTGATGTCGTCGACGCACGCGGCCGCCGCTTCAAGCTGGCGAGCGTGAACTGGTACGGGGCGTCCGACGAGCTATTCATACCCGGTGGCCTGGACATCAAACACCGCGACGAGATTGCACGAATTATCCGCCGCATGGGGTTCAACTCGGTCCGCCTGCCGTACTCGGACGAGATGGTCGTGGCGAATCCCGTCGTCTTGCCTCACCTACTGAGCGCCAACCCGGATTTGGTCGGCCGCCGCGCGTTGGACATTCTGGAGGCCGTGGTGGAATCTTTGACGCGGGAAGGGATTGCGGTTATCGTGAATAACCACATCACCAGCGCGACGTGGTGCTGCGGTGCCGACCCGTGTGACGCTGGGTGGGCCAACGACCATCTGCCCGCCATGATGTGCAGGGTGAGGCAGACCGAGGAGGAGTGGATCCAGCACTGGGAGGAAGTGATGAGGAAGTTTGTACGGAACCCGCTGGTGATTGGGGCGGACTTGCGGAACGAGGTGCGCGGAATGTGGGGGACTATGCCCTGGGATCGATGGGCGACTGCAGCCGAAAAAGCGGGAAACAGGCTGCTCAAAATCAACCCGGACTGGCTGATCATTGTGGGCGGTACCGAGTCGCAGAATGATCTCACGGGGGTTGCGGCGCGGCCTGTGGTGCTGGATGTCCCCAACCGCGTGGTCTATTCGGCGCATGTCTACTCATGGAGTGGCTGGGGCAGTGTGGGCGGCAGGTATGCGAAGCGCACGTACCCGAGCTTTGTCCAGTCGATGCGCAAGAATTGGGCGTACCTGGTTGAAGGGGACATTGCGCCTGTGTGGGTTGGCGAGTTTGGAGCTCCGGCCATGCCCGGTGAGGGTGATGCCAACTATTGGAAGAACCTGTTGCGTTACCTCAAGGCAATCGATGCCGATTTTGGGTACTGGGCTATCAACCCCCGCAAGCCCAAGGATGACGAGAAGGAATCATATTCACTGGTGGAGGATGATTGGGAAACTCTGGTCTTGGACTATAGGATGAAAGACATGACCGAGCTGATACGGACTGGCAGATAGGAGATTTAGTTTTATCGGTTGGCGACCCTGGCGCTTTAGGAGTATCATCGTTGACTCTTTCTCTTAAAGGATGGGTACTCGAGATTTGAACACATGCTTCTCCATCTAGCGGGGGTTTTTCTGCCCTTCCTGGGGAAAATATTGGTTTAGATATTACTAGATGGCCAAGCACAGAGTAGGGCGGTATGGCGTTGAATAAAAGGGGCTCCATTCTCGGGTTGTGCGACTCACTCTTCATGATGAACCTCGATTTGCCTTGGGTGTTCCGATGCTTGATATGCCTGGGGAATATTGACGTTTTCCATCAAATCCTCAGAATCTTCACCACAAGGCGAGTTCATGGCTATTTCACTCTTTGGAATTCTTAAATTTCCTGTGGTCATCGACCCCTTCACAGGCACCTTGATGGCCAGAAGAGCCGGGCCGCCCAGTGGTCCCACGAGGAAAGGTTGCAAGCCGATGCAACCGCTGACGTTTGATGCAGGGGCCCCCCCCACCAATTGTTCCGCCTGGGCCCCACTTCCCCGCCTAATCGCTCAGTATCTATCGATAGGCGCATTTGGCCCGCCCCATGAGCTCCCCATCCAACCTCCGTCTCCCATGAACACCAACCAGCAAACGAGCCTTCTCAAACCGACCAGAGAAAATTCGCCCCAACTATTGAGGGCCTCTATGTGCACGCCGTTAATCGACCTAGGCACGCCATCTGTTGCGCCAGATAGCCACTGCTCAAGAATCTTCCATCAAACGATGTTCATTCTTCAAGCAGCCTCCGAATCGGTTAACACAACGTGACGATGGATTCGGCCAACATGGACACCGGCGACGGCTCCCCTTGCGACGAGCTCTACGTTAGCCCGACTTGCTTTATTCAGACCCCGGAAAGCAGGGTAAGTTTGCGCGTTGCGCTGGGCTTCTCGGGAAACCAGGGTGGAGGCCACCTCCCGACGGACTCGTTTATAGACCTGGTTGCCGGCCATTTTATTTTTCCCTCTCGGAATGATGCGGCATAGTTACAGTTTTACATTAAGCCAGTGTTTGGGTCTAACCTGCATCTCTTGATTAGTTTGGCGCCGGTGTTCTCGATGATCTGAAAACGTTCATTGCTCACGGGCCATATGAACTCGAGGTTGCCCTGACGGACGCGGGGTCCGACGAAGAAGCGGACGGGCCAGATGTGGAAATCACCGAGGAAAGCGAGACGACGTATAGTTGGCAAGTCGCCTTTGACGGAAGCCTCGAGACAGATCCGAACCATGCTCAGCACGGCTTCCCAAGGATTGCAACCACGAGAAACAACCTGACGGCCCTTTCCCAGCGATTCAATGTAAGGTCTTTGAGTTCGCAATTCGTTTTTTAGTACTGACCTAAACCGAACACTATCAGCTCTATTTCGCGGCGTACCAAGATAGGATTTACGTCTACCAACCACGAAGGACCGGGTCTCAGATTCTCCAGTCACCCTCCGTCATTCTTCACCCACGACAGTCTAAGCTCGGCGAACAAGTCGGAGGAACGTTGGATTCGCATTTTCCACATCAGGTCAATAACATAGTGGTCGGAAATCTTGGAGACTTTGAGGTTGTTCTGCTCGCCTACGATGACGGCGACGTGATTGCGTACTACACGCATACCATCGTGCGGTGCGTTAGGGCGAGCAACAGTCAAGCACGTGGGACGCGTTCTTTTCCAAGTCGCCAAGCAACACATCCACGCCCCTTCTTCCATGAAAATGTGGGAAGGTCAGCCTGGGGGCTTGCCATCCACGAGCAATCTCGCCTGGTTGCCGCCAGTTCAAACTCCCACGACGTTACCGTTTTTGCATTCGCTCTGAGGGGCCAGAACCGGGACACGGCCGAACAATCATCTGGGAGGGACAGCTCACCACTCCTTGCGAATGGCCAGACGGCGATTCAACTGCAGAAACATTTCGAATCGAGGACTCGAACATGGAGAATTGTCCTGCCGCTTGGCAAGAACGGTAACAACGTTCCCAACATCTCCTTTGTCGATGACGAACGCGGAAATGCAGACAAAGTTGCCGCTATTGATATTGGTGGATCCGTGTGGCTCCTCGACATATGGAATATTGGCACACACCCCATCCGGTGGCCGGACCCTTTCTTCCCTAGGGAGTCGCAGTTAGTTCACGGGTACGCATTTTCTCCCGGGATCTTTTGGGGACAGCAAGCTAACAAGGGCGCAGCGCACGAGGTTGGGGCATCTTGGTGCTCCCCTACAGTTGGTTCCGGCCGACAAAGACGATCCGGGAAGCGCTTGGTGTTCCTGGCGGCGAGGTAATCGCTGTCGCGAGACCCGACGCCCCCAACAGGGTCTGGCTGGACACGACCTGTGGTCTTTACTATGTTAAAGGTCTTTCCACCAACCTGGATAGTTTGCTTCGGCAGCGTCACGCTCGTCTTGACTATGCCCGAACGCATTCTTCAAAGTTAGAATGGCAAGAGGACGACCTTTCAGACTCTGAGGATAGCGAGAGCGATTCGGGAACAGACGAGAGCGAGCACACGCCCAACCCGCCGGGAACAACGAATGAAATCCTGATGTACCCCGGTGCCGCTTGCTCGGTGTCACAGAGGTGGCCGAATATCACTCCTTTTTCAGGGAGCGCAGAGAGTGGCTTCCACGACACTGCCAGCGACGTACAGCTGGGCCAGTGTATCATACCGACATTTGGCGAGACACCATACCTCCGAGATAATCTCGTTGATTATATGTCCTTCAATAGGCTATTTGCCGACCGGCAACGGAGAACTAGGCACGTCGAGGCTCCCAACGCCTTCTTGCCAGACCATCTCGTCAAGGATTACTGCATTCTCCGCACCAACTCCACCGACATCGAACTCCAGCCCTTCGACAGCGAAGCGCCTTGTATTGAGTGCAAAATGTTACTCACTCACCGGGGTCAGGGTGACTTAAACAGCCCATGGGACCTACACCCGGCGTATTCAGAGCGACTTAGCATGTTCATCCCTGTCCCAGAGCTTAATTTGGTTGTTGTTGGCTCACCTACTGGGTCCGTCGCGCTCATAACTTTGACCAAGGCATCGAAACGGCTTCACCTGACCAAGGTCAGGTACGGGTTCCGGGTGGAATGTGTTCTACCGCGCAAGCAGGACGAAGCAAAGAATATGCGGCCTGACTGCACCCTGATCGGCGTAGCCGTGTCTCCGGTACCACACAGGCCGGGGAGAGGGTTAGTTCTGCGCCCTAAACACAAAATGGGATCGGATGGCGAAGTCGTTTATCGACTGATGATGCATTATAAGGATCACACGATCCTTATGTACGATATTGCGAGGGGTAGAGAGGATGATGATGCCTTGATGATTTTCTAGATGGAGTTAGGGTCTAAGGTGACGAATACTTCCTTGCTTAGCATGGTGCGAGAGAAGTAGTAGCCGTCAACCTTCATTTTCTTTTTGTTCGTCCCGGCTTAGTGTTGGGCTTGGGGTACTTGGGCGTCAGAGGGCGGTACATTGGGCGAATTTGATTCTGAGGGAGTTTCCGAATATCCACCATCTAGACGAGGTGCAAATGGCCGCTTTTTTTCTAATTTGATATTCATCTTCCATTACTGACCTAGTTGGACCATGTGACTCCGGTTGCTTCACTCTTACGCCGGCATGTAATAGGGTAAATTGAAGCATGCCCTCCCTTCAACTTAGCGAAGTTGTCGTCGACACTGAGCTCGATACTGAGGAATCAAGAAGGGGCATATGCTGCGTACTTTAGTGAGGCAGTGCGAGATGCGCCGCGCAATGCTGTTGCCGGACTAGTTAGACGCTTAAGAGATGTCCATCCTGTCATTATAATGATGGAGTGAGGCATAGCGCAACTAAAGGTGTTGGAATACGCGTTCGGGCGCCGTCGCTCACACGACACTTGTTGGGCTGGCTGTGAACCAGTCAGACCAGTTCGAGGTGCTAGCTTCGTAGGGAAACCTCTCCCAGCTCGTCTGATAGGTTGTCTGGACAATAGGGAAATGCCATCGCCTTGTGGAGTGGATTTTATGGATCACCAGGTTGACTGCTCTCACTCCTTCTGCCACCGAAGCCAAAATCCCATGAGGATTCCGGTGAGGCCAAAGGGAATGCGAAATAAAAGCGCTGGCGTGGGGGGTTCCTGGAAGCCTTATCCTCCACCACACATGTATCAACCAACGGCAAGAAAAGACCGGACAAGAAACCACTTGGTCTATTCTTTTGCCAAGGGTTTCCGAGGAACAAGACCCGTTTCCCTAGGAGGAAACCCCCATGGACACAGAATGATATCAGCCCTTTCGGTTTGGGACTGTGAACAACAATGCCACTCTGGTCCTCTACAATGAGCCCCCCACGTCTGTTTCCATCCGGAAGGTTCAAAGGCTCCATGGTTGAAGTTCTCGAAGGAGACTTCCGCGGAGGGACGACGCCACAAACGTGGGTGTCTTGCATACTTTTCAACGTGTGACCCTGGGTTCAGAAAGCTTCAGGGGTTCTGTTAAAGAGTAAGACCTCTCCTGTGGAAGGACTGCGATGTCATTGGTGTATGGGCCAGCCTCATCTTCGAGGCGCGATGAAAGAGCCATCATGAACCCCACCGGGACGGTTAACCGTGGTGGGATGGAATGCTCCCTAACCTCCTACCATCCCCCACGGACCCATGAACAGTGTATGTACTGTACATGTACGCTTTCTTGCTTCATGACGCCCATCGGTCTTATCTCCAGCGTGGAAACTGTCGTCCATTGTCCACCGAGGCTCAGACAACGTAACTACCTCCAAACCCAGGAGTTGTGGTTCATCTCATCGCTTCGCCAAAATCCCAGCCCGTGCTGTTCTTCCCTTCGTCCCGACATGCCTATTTCTTGTCCACGAAGAGGTACTTTGCGGGGGAGGAATTGGGTTGCCTGCATGGTCAATTCCTGGGGTGCATAAGGAGGGGAGTGGCAGTCGTTTGTTCGGCATTCCGAGTTTCTTCCACCACTCCCTCGTCAGCTAGGTACCGAGCCATCGTTACAATGTCGAGGCACGCGGGGGTAGCTTTGGGTTTCTGCAAAGCAACAGATTTTAGGGGTCTCCCCGTCCTGATCCGTATTACCAGTGTAGTTCCAGCGCGCTTGACCAGTGACTGCCCAACGACATTAGAGGCGGGGGCCATAAACACGCCGGCTTCGGCCGCCAACGAGTCAAAGACCCGTGAACGTGGGGATCCAGTGTGGGGATCGGGATGAACCGTATCTTTGCATCTGAAAGTTGGGGTCTGCCCGCCATGATGGGTAAAACAGAAATAAATGCCAAGGTACCCACCGCCTGCGCAGGACGAGAGGGATAGACGACTCGAGCTCAATGCGCTGCGCCGTTCCCGGAGATTGGGTTTTCTCCCGCAGTTCCAAGGGCGAACCATCAAAGTTCATTGCTGAAGCCACCCCAAGCGAAGGTGACGCTAGATGCCTGCCTAATACCTACTTTTCGGCGGAATTGACCTGGCTCACCGAATGGTGCCCAATCTAACCGCAAGGGACAGCGCTTTCTTGACCCGAACGAATTTCGCTTTATTAGTGTACATGGATTGCTCCCACCGGTGCTGGGCCAGCAACAACGATTCGGGTAAAATTCAGCTAAGTGGTGGTTTTTGGCCACCCGTGGCTTAGCTCAGAAACCACCACTAAGCAAACGGACTGTCAGCGCAGTGATTCAAATTCTGGTTGTCAGTCCTGTGCTCCACTTGATAAGCAGCCTTGCCCCCCGGCACCGATGAGACGCACGGAAGATCTTGAAGAAAAATGTGGACCGGAAGATAAGAGAGATCTCGAGCCGCGATTGGCCCAAGATTCCCTATGGTCTGGTTGGAAGTCGCTGGTTAGGCCAAGACATGAGCCTCAACAGAAACGATTTCGTAACGAAAATTGAAGGCCCCACGCTTCCCGGCTTGGCTCGAGGCTCTCCAGTCCCCCTGTTCCTGCCTCGTTCGAGCCCATCGACGTCGGGAGAAACCGCTGTTTCGCATTGAGCGACCTCTTTTTGACATTTTGCCACCGATGGACTGACTTGTCAGGTCGCGGGCAGCGGGTTGAATCTAGGCGCCGCCTCGACTTCCATGGTCCGAGGAGGTTGGCTCGGCAGAACGAAGACATGAGGGCAAAAGAATGGCTTTTCCTTCTGGCTTCGAAACCGTTCCAAGCCGGAGCTGAAAGGTGGTGTCGACGACAGGGCGAGCCGACTGCATCAAAAACCCCGGTTCGGCTATCAAAGTTGATTGGCTCTTGTTGAGGAAAGTGGAGGGGCTGTTCCCTCCATCGAGAACGAACGTCACAAGCTGGTTTCCCATTTCGAGAACCGGCTCACGAGACTTCGTGGAAACGTTGACCACTTTCAGCCACTCCTGTTACCTGCCCCACCGACGAGACTACCTTCACTTGACTTGTCGCCCGATGAAAAAACAGCCCGAGGCATTGTCTTGCCTCCGTCACCCGCGTATCGGCTTGGAATTGCCAATACCCACGACGGACGACATTCCAGGGCCGTGGAGGAGGCGCGGAGGTTCTTGTGGTCCAGTAACTTTAGTGTATAACCAGACTTGATTCATCGACTGTACGACCCCACCCCGGAGAGACCAAGATGCTCTTCATGCACCAAGCACCCCGCCCCCAGTAGTTTGAGAGCCAGTCTACTCTGGATATCCTGATGTCCAAGCTGGAAAGAAGGGGCTCGGTTTTGAAAGGTGGACGCGGCGGGGTATGTCTAGACAACGGGATACCCCCCAGAGCCCCTTCTGATGCAGCACATCGTGCAGAGACAGTGTCTTTCTTTCTGCTTCCCGTTGCCTCGGTCGAATGTCATCGAGCCCGCCCCGGCTTGTCAAATGGATAGTGTCGACCGTTTTATCCACCGCCACCTCGTTTGCAATTTGAGACATCAAACGTCCAGTATGGGAGGCAAGCGTTCGACATCAATTTTAGAGATCCGGAACGACGGAGGTACCATTGTCACCTGCAAAGGCGGGAACCTCGGAGCGGGGGTCGCTCCCACATTCTGGGACGCCACCCTCCGGACCCGCTCGTTGTGCCTCAGCAGTCCAGGGTAAGCTTCCTGGGGGTACCTTGGACTCGCCTGGTTGACTGTGGATGAATTTGTGAACCATGGGGCATCGCCAAAAGGGGTTTCTGGCCTCGCAGCCCAAGAGTTGTCGTGTGGTGTAGTTTGCCAGATTGCGCCCCCAATCCCACGAGTTAGAGCGATAAGGGAATGGACGAGGCGGCTGACAGCGCGGGTTCGTCACTGACGTCCCTTTTTCTAAAAAAGAAAAAAAAAAGAAAGCTAAAAGCCCTGCGGTCCAAAATGGGATGACAACTGAGCGGCCCGGCCAAACAAACCCACGCTCCCGTTACGCCCACCCATTCAGGTGGGCTCCCACCTTGAACGCTTATCCGGCCGGGGTCGCATGCGCGCCCACACCTCACCCGCAGCTCGCATGGGTCGATGACATGGGGCACTTGCAAGTTCTTTCACCCTTCCCTCGCGCCTGCCGAACACCACGGCCAGGGTGCGGACGTTGTCACTCCCCACTCCTCGGAACAGATAGGGCTTTGACTAAAGTAAGGTAGGAGATAAGGTATGGACTGGTCGTAATGGGTCCCTGAATTTCGGAGGCACCCTCTTTTTATATACCTGACCTCCCTCACCGTCGCTCCTGGTCTGGCCCCCTTGATTCGAGTGCGTTCTGTGCATTTTAAACTTGTCGATTTGTGCAAAGCGGCCCATCCTTCGAACACACACCCGGGCCCTGCCCCCAACGCGTTGACAGTTCCGTGCCGTTTTGGTGTGGCGCATTGATCCATTGAGCATTTGTTTTGTTAAATGCGCGTTGTTTCGATTTGTCCCTCGACTTTGTAAGCGTTCAGCTTTGACACGACTTTGTACATTACCATCTTCCCGCGGTCGGCGGACGACTCCCCCCTTTGACCGACCATCATGTCCTCCGGCGACAGCACCGGCCATGTTGGCACTGATCCAGGTATGCAATTGACACCATTTGTTGTCCAATAATACGCCGGGCATCCCGCCGTGGGCTCGGGTAGTCCGTATATTGACACAGAACGCCTTTTTTAGCCGTCGATGACCTCAATGTGCCGTTCAACGCAGGCGACCAAGCCTTCATCATTGTGGCTTCGGCCATGGTGTTACTCATGATCCCCGGAATCGCCTTCCTCTACTCGGGCCTCGCTCGCCGAAAGTCAGCTCTCTCGCTCATTTGGGTTGTTATGATGTCCTTCAGCGTCATTGTTTTCCAATGGTACTTCTGGGGGTACTCGCTCGCTCTCAGCAACACCGCAACAAACGGTTTCATCGGGAACTTGGACAAGTTCGGGCTAAGGAATACTCTGGGCGAGCCCAGTCCTGGGTCTCCTCTTATCCCTGAGTTGCTTTACTCCTTCTACCAGGTACGGAACATTCCGCGCGCATTGAACATTGTAGAGCGTGAGAGGGTGGGGGATCTGTGTGTGTGTGTGTGTGTGTGTGTGGGGG